TATCTACACTGTAAAAAAAAATGTCTGTAGATTTTACGGTGGAAAACTGTCAAACTGTGACAGTGAAAGACTGTAAACTCTGAATCGGTTCAAGTTTCTGTACAACAGTAAAACACAGCGTTATGTCACAGCAAAACCTTTATTTATGCTGCATTTTAAAGGAATTTATATTGAATAAAATAGTTTTTTTATATATTACAGACTGTAAATTATACAGAAAACCACCATAATAGTATTCATATGGTATTTCGCATGTGGCAAAACTGTTTCTTTTGCTGGTAAAAACGTATTTATATGGTAAAATATGAACTCAACAGTACTAATATCCTTTTACCATAATATATATGGAAGAACTTTTTCTTCTATTTTAGTAGATTACATTTTATAACTGTAAAATAACTTTTTTCTTTTTACAGTGCATCCCTTCTGCAGCTATATATCTCTCACTGTCTTGTTTGCCTCTTAAAAACCTTGGTAAAGTGTGGTTTTGTGAGGCTTAAAGGTTTTGTTCAGGTTTCTGTTGTTGAAAACCACATAAACGGCTAAAAACATCCACCTGTTAGGCACCCCATCAACTGCCCATGGTTTTGATTCCCTCTGCTCTCATCTCCCTGTATTATAATGAAATGTTACCGTAATGCAGCTTCCAGCCTTTAATTTGCTAAGTAATCCAAGGAGCACAGAACCATTCATATTTCAGTTGTCGCTATTTAATTAACTACTGAACACATGTGTAACATTCATTTAATGATGTGCAAGACACACAAGCAATAAAGCAGCAAGAAAGACCGACAGAGACTAAAAGAATACATCAATCACATGTTTAATTTTCTATTTTAATACGGCACTCAATGCATATGAAATCTATATTCTGTTGGTGAATGAAGGAGGCGCGAATGGCACATATGAATTAAAGACTCCACTGCGAAAGGACAGGGAGAATATGAGAGCTGTAATTGGATATCTGTGAATTAATTTGTTCAGTGAACATACTATGAATCACATCAGGTCATAAAACCCAGATGGAGCAGAGGGAGGATTGGCACAAGGTGGTGGAGGCAGATATTTAACATATCAGAGTGCAGAGTGATGCTTTCAGTGGTCTGCGCTGCCACCATGTGGAGAGAAAAGGCTCGGCAGAGAGCGGGAGAGATAACAGTGATTTATCCTGAAGTGCTTTAAAGTGAGCTCCCCAAAGTGGGCCAAATATTCTACATTTCAAATTAAAGTAGCTTTTCAAACTATTAATCAAAGCTGGATAAATATTAGAACCGATTTCTTCTCTCCGTAGGGAGGAACGTGCAGAATACTCTTCGGGGGAAACTTAGTGTGCATGAACATGTGAAACCTGACCGCCGCTTGAACATGCCTATTGATGAAACTCCATTTCCTGGTGGGAGACTCAGTGTAAAAGAATGCAGAGTGGGAGAGAAGCCTGGAGTCGCTCCTATCACTGCCACCTCCTATAACCAAATTTATGAAGACATTTCTTTGGCGCGCTCTACATAAATGTCAGTATTATAATCCTCAATAATCCCCACCAAGAGGGTGATGGAGGATGTATGTGACAGGCAGAACTGTACCTTTTCCTGTGGACAGGAGACGTTTTTCACCCAAGAGCAGGAACACAAGAATGTTTCTGTATGTTTCAGCAGCCATGCATCAATGTGAAGAATGTAGTGGAATCTAAAAGAGGATTCATGCTCATTAATTATGTCCCAATGCCCTGTGCAATGTTAGAATAGCACAGGGAGAGAGATGTCATCACCCTCGTGTTAGCCTCCTCACAAAGCCTCATTTACTGAGTGACTGAGTCTCAGGTCTCACACTTTTCTAATATGACGTCTTCAGAGAAAACAAGACTGTTAAAATAAAGCTCTTATAGCTTGAGCTTGTGCAAAAGTGCACTGCTTTCCCTCATTATTTCTCTGTCTCTTATTTGTGTTTTAAATTCAAGCAGGGGCAGAGGGGGTTCTATGAATCTGTAGTGAGCATTATTACCTGTCTGCTACAGAATTACCAGTGAAAGCAGCTACATTACAGGAATGTTTCCAAGCAATACAAATAGGAAGGGAAAGCACTGTAATAACAATAATTATAATAATACTAATTATATGTTGTTATTATTATTATTTTTATTATTATTATTATTAATAATAATAATAATAGTAGTATTGACAGTAGTAGTATATTAATGAAATAGAAGCAGTATGTTTTGTGTTTTAATATTGTGTATATAAGAAACATACATACATACTACTACTACTACTATACTACTTTATTATTATATTTAAAGGTCCAATGTGTAACATTTAGGAGGATCTATTGGCAGAAATGCAATAAAATCTTCATAGGTATATTTACATTAGTGTATAATTACCTGAAAACAAGAATTGTTGTCATTTTGTTACCTTAGTATGAG